GAATGTGGGCACATATGCATGCATCTGGGACCCTTCACAGGCCCAGGAACTCACGCACATGAACCAGCACCTCCCCTCCCTCACCCCCTCCGCATGGATGGATGGATGCACACATACTCCTTGCGCCCCGTGGCCAAATGCACAACGGAGCGCCAAGCAGCCACTCGTGCCCCGGGGATGCGGCATTGAGCAGAGGCCGTATCTGCTTGCGGGGTCTACGGGGCGGGGTGGGTCGGGAGGCGGGGGATGTCGCGCCACACATTAATGAACAAAAACACACGCCCTCTTTCCTGCGCCCGGTCGGGGACCCCCCCCCCCGCCCCCGGAAGGCGGGGTGTGCCCGCCCCCTCGGGCAAGGGGACGGCGGAAGCCATGGCCGAGGGGGAAGTTGTCCCGGCCCCTCTCGGCAAGGAGGCATGAGGCTCCGAACGCCGGCAGGCATGGTGCGGTCCGCAGCACTTGGTCCTCCCCTGCTGGCACACACCGCCTCCTGTTCCATTCCCCGGCCCCCGTATGTCCGCCCGGGGGGCGCAAGGGGCGGAGCGCGAACTTGGGTGCCATTTCCGCGCGAGTGACCACTCGAACGGCTGGACCGGGCTGCTGTATTCTGCCACCGGACACGAAGGACACAGGCACGGCCTCATCCGTTGCTCTCGTCAACACTGGCGTGCGTAAACAATCCACCACGCCTCGCCGAATAGGGGGACAACAGAGAGCTGGCTGACGCATGGTCGCACGGCCGAGGGGGCCCATGCACATCGCATGCATGTGGCAGGGGCCTCCCATGGGGGGGGGGGGGAGGTAGTGAATAAATGCGCACTGGCTGCTCCCCGGGGCCCCACCCGGCTGCCCCAGGGAGCGGAAGCCCACCCACCTGGGGAGGTTCCCATCGCGCGCCAAATAGCCCGCCATCCTCCGGGAGAGGCCCGCTTGGTGCTAATGCCACGCATCGGGGCGCGCCTCAATCTGGCGTGACGGCCCCGCACGATGCCGGGAGATTTACACATGCATATAAATAGGCTACATGTAATATGAGCACACCCACACACCCTCCCAAATACGTGCGTGTGCTGGTGTGTGTGTGTGTGTGTGTGTGTGTGT